TTGTTTCTCAGTGTATTTATACAGTTACACAGTTCTCACCACTATATTGATTTCAGAACACTTCTATCACCCCAGTAAAGAAACCCCGTATCTCCCAATCCTCCCTGCTCCCTCTTGCCCTGGAAATTCTTTTCTACTTTCTATCTACAGATTTGCTCATTGGGCATGGCATATAAATGAAGACATACGATATGTGGCTATTTGTTTTGCTACTTTCACTTCCCATGTCTCTCTCTTCCTCCTCACTCTCTTCCTCTTTTTTTTTTTAAGATTTATTTTTTTGATAGGCAGAGTTACAGAGAGAGAGAGAGAGAGAGATCTTCCATCCACTGGTTCACTCCCCAAATGGCCCCAATGGCTGGAGCTGAGCTGATCCAAAGCCAGGAGCCAGGAGCTTCTTCCAGGTCTTCCACATTGGTGCAGGGGCTCAAGCAATTGAGCCATCTTCTACTGCTTTCCTAGGCTATAGCAGAAAGCTGGATTGAAAATGGAGCAGCTGGGTCCTGGAACTGGTGCCCGTATGGGATGCCAGCACTGCAGGCAGCAGCTTTACCTGCTATGCTGCTGCGCCAGCTCCATTTTTTCCCCTAATATTTATTTATTTGAAAGGTAGAGAGAGAGATTTTCCATCCTCTGATTCACTTCCAAAATGGCCACATCAGCCTGGGCTGGGACATGCTAAAGCCAGGAACCAGGAACTCCATCTGGGTCTCCTACATTGCTGGTAGAGGCCCAAGTACTTGGGCCATCATATGCTGCCTTCCCAGACAAATCTTTCAGTTTTATTTTCCACACTTTTTTGAAGTACGTGCATATTACTACTTTATTCATTTTTATGACTGAAAATAGTCTATTTTATGGATATAACACATTTTGGTTATTGTTTATCCTTTTATGGACATGTTCATTTGTTTCTGCTTTGGGGCTGTTGTGACTATTGCTACCACGTAAGTTTTTGTGCGAATATATATGTATTTTAAATTCTCTTGGTTTTGTAGCCAGTAGTGGAGTTGCTAGGGCGTGAGGTAACCCTACATTTAACTTTGTGATGAACCATCAAATTGTTTTCCAACAATCATAGGGGTTTTTTTAAATTAGGAGTTTATTTTGTTGCAAAAAATTTGAAATCCATGTTCAGTTTACATTTTAAGGCAAATGCTTAATGTTCTTTTTTTTTTGTTTTTAAGATTTACTTATTTGTTTGAAAGTCAGTTACACAGAGAGAGGAGAGGCAGAGAGAGAGGTCTTCCATCTGCTGGTTCACTCCTCAGTTGGCTACAAAAGCTGGAGCTGCGCAGATCTGAAGCTAGGAGCCAGGAGCTTCTTCTGGGTCTCCCACGCAGGTGCAGGGGCCCAAGTGGAACAGCTGGGTCTCGAACCAGCGCCCATATGGGATGCCGGCGCTTCAGGCCAGGGCGTTAACCCTCTGCACCACAGCGCCAGCCCCAGGAAAAGAGGAAAGCAACCATAGTTTTTGACTTAGATTGTTTTTATTACAGCTTTTCAAGTTGCCTTTTACCAAATATGTGTTAACTAATACCAAAGAAATATGATTCTGAAAGCAGTTCTACATATTCAATTAATTGCAAAAAAAGACCTATCTTATTCTTGTATATTGTAGACTTTCTCTTTTTCCCAAAGTTAATATAAATTCGATGTAATCTTAGTTGTTTGTTTCTAACTTGGCAAGTGAATACCAGAGTTCCTTATTAAGACTCAACAGATGGCCGGCGCCGTGGCTCACTAGGCTAATCCTCTGCCTTGCGGCGCCGGCACACCGGGTTCTAGCCCCGGTCGGGGCGCCGGATTCTGTCCCTGTTGCCCCTCTTCCAGGCCAGCTCTCTGCTGTGGCCCGGGAGTGCAGTGGAGGATGGCCCAAGTGCTTGGGCCCTGCACCCCATGGGAGACCAGGATAAGTACCTGGCTCCTGCCATCGGATCAGCGCAGTGCGCCGGCCGCAGTGCGCTGGCCGTGGCGGCCATTGGAGGGTGAACCAACGGCAAAGGAAGACCTTTCTCTCTGTCTCTCTCTCTCACTGTCCACTCTGCCTGTCAAAAAAAATAATAATAAAAATAAATAAATAAATATATAAGTACATTACAGATCTCTAAGAAAAAGACACCCTGTGATCCCTAAGGGAAAAAGAAGAAAAATGGACAGAGGATTTGAACATGTCGTCCTTAGGAGAACATAGTATTGGCCATGTAGAATAAGATCAGCCTCACTCATAGTTGAGGAAAACGAGATAAAATAACCACAGAGCATTTCTTTCATATACCAGATTGATAGAGTTTAAAATTTGGTGATGGGCAATCACATAGAGGGTACAAGGCACCAGTCACTGTAGTGTCCATTTATGCGAACCTTTCGGAAGTGCCATTTAACAGTGTTAAAATTCAAAATCAAATGCTGTGACACAGTTAATTTTTTTACTCCTAGCAATGTATCCCATAGCTGTTTTCATAGATGCATGTATGGGTGCCCATAGAATTACAGTAGTAATATTTATGCACTTAAGAAAAAGATTACAGTCTGACGTGAGACAAGAGTGCATAGTATGATCCCATTTGTATGGGGCTCCTTCAGAAAGTTCATGGAAGATGAGATGTACAGGTAAATATGTTTTGGAGTAAAACCATTTGAAACTCCTGCAGGTTTTTTTTCATAGTAGGCATTTTCATGAACTTTTTTTGAAGCCCTCTCATATTCATGGATTTTAAAACTTTTCACCATAATAAACTTAAGTATTTTCATTCCATTCTTCCACAAAATATTTGAAGTACACCTTGAAGGAGGCAAAGATTTATTTATTTGAAAGGCAAAGTGACAGAGAGAGGGGAACAGGGGTTGGGGGAAACAGAGAGAGAGATCTTCCATTTGCTGGCTCATTCCCAAATGGCTTCAGTAGCTGGTACTGGACTAAGCCAAAGCTAAGTCTCTGACTCCATCTGGGTCTCCCTTTGGGTGGCTGAGACTCAAGCACTTGGACCATCTGCAGCTGACTTCTCAGGCACATTACCAGGAAGCTGGATTGGAAGAGGAGCAGGTGATATTAGAACGCTGATAATGGTGTGGTGGCCTTGTGAGTACAGCTTAACTGCTGCACTACAATGCTGGCCCCATCCCCCTTTTCTGGTCGCTGTTTTTTTTTTTTTTTCCAAAAATATGCTTGTGTATGTGATTTTTAAATGTGTATTTTTAAAAAATAGTTGAAAAAATCCCATGAAAATAGACATTTTTTCCTATTGACAAGGATTACAAATACAATTAATTGTAATTTTAATTTTATTTATATTCCAATAAGTGTTTTGAAACTATATGCAAGGCTATTTTAGAAAGACCTAAAAGTGTTTTCTTTTCATAAGTACATAAAAATTATAAGGTTTTTTTTTTCTTTTTCAAGGTCAGCTTATCAGTAAGCTAATTAAATTCAAAGTATGCTCATATAAACAGATTTGTCAACAATTTAAATTTCATTTATTTGATTGCTACTCTTGGGGCTGGGGAATAGAGTGCTGCAGTTGGTGGTACTGAAAACTAAGATTTAGTTTTAATATTGGTGATGAGTACTGAATAGGAAATAGTTTCCTAATTATATTTTTTTTCCAGACACATCTTCCAGAACTAGATACGCTTTCATCAGAAAGAACCAGATCTTTTATAACTTGGCTAAGAGACAGCAGACCACTAAGCCCAGTTCTTCATGTGGTGAAGTAAGAACTTATGTGACTGAATTATGAAGTTATCTCTTCCTGTGCAATATGTGTGAAATAACATGTCTTTTAAGCATACTTTAAATAATGTCAAAATAGATTCTGGTGGTAGAATATTGCTCCTTGATTAATATCTCCTGTGTTCCATTTTTCTATAGTCTCTACTTATTAACAGCCTTTTTAATGAATAATTATTCTTTTTAACAACATGCATTTTTAGACAAATGTCCTTTTCTGTTTCAGAGATGAGAGTCCTGCCAAAACAGAATTTTTTCAGCATTTGATTGAAGACCGGACAGAAGCTGCATTCTCTTATTATGAATTTTTGCTTCACATTCAGCAGCAAATTTGTAAGTGAAGTAGAATAAAATGGAATAAGAAGAAAAAGCTTTATTATCTAGGTAAAGCATTATCTGTTGGCGAAGCACACAAGAAATGTGGAATGCAGGAGCTTGCTGTTACACGATTCAATGCACTGGACTCTGAGGTTGTGACAAAAGATAAAGGCAAAAAGAGAACTTGACAGATTTTCTTCAGCCTGAAATGATGGTAGGGATGACGCCGTTTCGCCCACTATATTTTGAATTGGTTTCTACACATTTCCAGTAGTGCAGCAGTGTAGTGTTCTGTTTGTTACAAGCGGGCAAATTGATGCAACTGTGTGGAATGATATGTCCTAATATAAAATTAGATAAATTCTTTTGTCTTACTATTAATATAACATTTTTGGACGTGAACTCTGACAAAAGATTCCAAAAAGGCAGCAGGTACCATGTTATTTGTTTATATGAATTACTTTTTAACAAGGAATGATTCATATTCATTAAATAAATTCAGCATTTTCCCTGTAAAAACAATAGTTTCAGAACACGAACTATAGAAAAACATATATATATATATGTATAATGTACATAACTGTTACATTTGTAAAGAAAGTGTAAAAATGTAGCTACAGAATAGGAATTGCTTATACTGCTCTGGGTTGTTGGATGACATCTCTTTTTGTCACGGTTAGAGAATGAGATTGACCAATGCATATTCTGCATTGAGTCCACAAATGAGACACAAACTCTTTGTAATTCTGCTAAATCTTTTATGTGGATTTATTTATGATCAGCCTATTAATTAAAAATATTTTGCTTGACAATATGGTTTGGTTGTTTTTTTAATTTTTGGTGTGGACTACTTTTTTTTTTTTTTTTTGTATATAGTATATACTGAATTTACTTCTTAGGGGAGTGTAGTGATATTGCATTTAGTTAGTTATATAGATGAATCAATAAATTTTCATTAGATGCGGGCGCTGCGGGCGGTGGCTTTACCCGCTCCCCCACAGTGCCGGCCCCTCCTGGGAGCCTTTCCCCGTGGGATCCAGCTGTCTGCTAACATGCCTGGGAAAGCAGAGGGAGCGGCCCAAGGACTTAGGCCCCTGAACCTGGAGTGGAGCACCGGATACAGTCCCTGGCTTCTGCTTCGGCCTGGCCCAACCCCGGCCTTAGTAGCCACCTGGGGGTTGAACCCCCAGATGGACGATCCTTGAGCGAGAGCAAGAGGCAAGAGTGCTCGCGATGCCCCATGCTCTGCTTCTCTCCCCAAGCGGCTTCAACGGCCAGCGCCGGGCCAGGCAGAAGCCAGGAGGCTTGACCTCCATTCAGGTTGCCCAGGAGGCAGGGAGGCGTGGTCCCTGGGTCACAGCCTGGAGAGGCCGCACTGCAAGCGGCCCTGGGGCGTCGGACGCTGGACACGGCAGGCAGCGCGCAGGTGCGTCCCGTGGCGCCACGGCGGCCGCCCGTGGGGAGTGCGCCTGCGCCCGGCGCTGTGACCCGGAAGTGCCCCTTGTGTCCCGCGGTGCTCAGGTAGGAGTCCTCGCAGCGTCCCGTCCGCTCCTGCCGGAGAGTCGGTGCAAGCCTGCGGGAGCCGTCCTGGACGCTGCCAGCAGAGCCTGCGGGAGACCCAGCGTCCCCCCGGGTCAGGCCAGGCTCAGGCCGGGCTCAGAGAGGCTGCGGCCCGAGACAGCCGCAGCAGTTACCTTGCATTTCTGGAAATTTGTAGGCGCGGTCCTCTTCTTCGGCAGCTTCCGGAAGACTACCCCTCGGGACTTGGTTCCTGTTCCAGAGGAGCAGAAACGCTCTTTCGTTGGTGAGTTTGGCGCGATGGCCTTCCTGTCGCGGGGTAGGTGGAGCCTGGGGTGCAGATAGCGGGCAAGGGGTGTGCATGTGAGGGGTGGAAGGGAGAGAAGGAGGAGAGAAGCGACCAAGGGAGATTCGGGAGGAGAGAGGAAGGGGGGAGAAGGAAAAGGTGGCGTGAAGGTGGGGTGGTGTGGAAGAAAGGGGAAGAAAGGCGTGTGGGGCAGCGTAAAGGGAGGGCGAGTGTGACAGGAGTCCCGGTGGGCGGGTGGAGGCGGGGGTTGGGAGAGGAAGAACTTTTCCCACGGCCCGGGTTCCGTTTTAGGGGTTTCCTGGCCCTGGCTGGAAGCAGTCTTGGCCGCGGCCGTGAGAAGCGGCCTTGACTCCGGGCCCCTCTTCTCTGGGTTGTTCTGAACTGTAATGTGTGTGCAGGAAAACTGGCCTGGGGAGTTTGGAGAGTGAACTAGTGTATGGAAGACCTCTCTTGCTCTTGCTCTCCCTCTCTTTCTGTAACTCTGCCTTTAAAATAAATAAAATGTTTTTTTTTTTTTTTAAAGAACCTTTAACCATTCAAGGAAAGCCTCAAGTAGAAAGAAGAAGAATCTTGCAGACCCACAGTACTCAGTGACCTAAGATCTTGACTGAAATTCTTGTTGAAGTTTGCTGATAAAGTGTTCATCAGAAATGACACATACTGACTTGTGTGAAGTGAGCTAGTAGATATTCTTTTTTTTTTTTTTTTTTCTGACAGGCAGAGTGGACAGTGAGAGAGAGAGACAGAGAGAAAGGTCTTCCTTTTTTGCCGTTGTTTCACCCTCCAATGACTGCCGTGGCCGGCGCACCGCGATGATCCGAAGGTAGGAGCCAGGTGCTTCTCCTGGTCTCCCATGGGGTGCAGGGCCCAAGCACTTGGGCCATCCTCCACTGCCTTCTCGGGCCACAGCAGAGAGCTGGCCTGGAGGGGGGGCAACCGGGACAGAATCCGGCGCCCCGACTGGGACTAGAACCCTGTGTGCCGGCGCTGCAAGGCGGAGGATTAGCCTAGTGAGCTGCGGCGCTGGCAGATATTCTTGAACTGTGTAAAAGTCACATCTGCTAGTTTTTTCAAGATGTAACTGCTACGCTCCTGAGCTACTCGAGAGCTGTTGGGTAGAGATGTTATTACTGGGAGAGTCGTCACATGGCACAGCCCCTGTGGGCATTGTTTCGCCCTGTGACTGGCATTTCCAGGGCTAGTGCTGTGCACACTGGGGAGGCCTTACCCACAGGTGGTGTGGTATCTGCACAATGTCTGCTTGATGGTTCTCCCTTCATTTGGATGGCTGGTAGGGTTCTGTTAGTACACAGTCCCTCACCTTGTGACTTTTCAATATTGCTCAAGCACGCGTTTTTGAGTCACCTCGGGGGGAACAGTTGGGGCCCTGGGGGATTGCCCACTTTTCTAGAGACTAGAACTGGCCTAACCTTGCCTCCGGGGACTTTCTCTGAGTTAGATACCTCTTAGAGTTATTATAAAACCTTGAAATATTTTATTTCATGGTGTATCTTTAAGCAGAGGTATCTTACAATTAGTGCAGCAATCATAGACTTATTTTTATTATATTTTTACTAAGCAGGAGGGAGGAAAGCATTGTTGGTCAGTGCACATGGTGCTTAACGTGGAATCTGGAGGTGGAGATGGTGTTTTCTTATTTACAGAGTTTGTGATTTCCAACTATCGCCAAGGGTAAACACTAGAATTAGGTCTAGGCTGTGGTTCTAGCCGGTATGCCTCTGTTTTAAATTTCATCTCACTTCTGCTTGGCATCAAGATTTCCAGCTTTCCAAGGCTGGCCACAAATTTAATTCAAGTGTCTAAACCAGTAGTTAGAGGAAAAGATCCCGCAGTGGTAACGGTACTGCTAAATGAATCATTTGTTGTATATCAGACTCCTCATCATCTAGTTGAAATATCTTTGTGTTTTCTTGTTTTCTGCAATAAAAGTCATTCAGACTTACCGAAACTATACATTTGCATTCCTTCCACATGTGAGACAGTATTTTTCTAAATCGTTGGGCCTCTAAATTCCTGTGGGTAGGGGCTAGTGTTGTGCAGTGGGTTAAGCCACCACCTGTAATGCCAGCATCCCATACTTGTTTTCTTTCTGTAATCCAGTCGTTGAAAAACAAAAACCACTCCCAATGCATGAGTCCTATAAAAGCAGTTTCACTTTATTTGAACACTCTAGGGAGAAAATCAGAGGGGTATGTACTGTAGCTAAAGAGAAAAACTCTGTCAAATTTTAAATCGAATGGTGGAATAAATTCCATGACAAAAGTGAAGCAAACAACTGACCTGCGGCCCCACCGCACTGGAGCCTGGCCTTGCTGTCTACTTGGTACAGATGGCAGGAGCTCCGGAGAAGCCTGGAGCCACATCCCATGTGCAAGCCTGTGTGGGCTTGGTCTTTGTTTTCTGATTGGTTGGCGCCTGAAGGAAATCCAATCAGAATTGACACATGCTGTCGAATACCGAATTTATAAAAAGAGTGCTCAGTGTTGCTGTTTCCCTTTTCTCTTCTTGGCATCCAGCGTCGTGGAGTTTTTTGTTGGAACATGTGCTGAGCACTGACGCTAAGCCTTCGAACAAGGAGGTGAGCAGCCAAGAGCAACACCTGCAGGAAGGGCCGGGCTGCTGGTGTCGGAAGAGTGGCAGTAGATTCAACAGGACCCTCAGGTTCGTCCCTCCTCGCCTGGTGAGTCTTCTTGAAATGTTTGTGAGTATCATATGCCGGCCCTGGCCACAGGCAGGGGACACTCGGGCTTTCAGGAGCCAGGGGAAAGGAAGAATAAATTGTGTATTATATTGTATGTTATAAATTGAATGCTGTATATTCAATTTGTATTATATATTATAAATTTCATAACACATGTTCTAAATAGGTTTTAAATTGTATATCGTAAAATGTGTATGTGCTCGGAGGTATCACATATGGTTCCAGAAGGAATGAGCCTACCTGGATGAATTGTCATGCCAGGATGGGTGAATCGGCAGGTGAGTCGTCATCTGTCGGGTGGGCAATTACGATGCCCAGTGACTGTGTTAATTTCCAGGTTTCTTGTGTTATTTTCTGGGTTTATAGTTCTACTTGGTGGATAGGAGCTGAGAAAATGGATCTAGTCATCCAGAAAGGAAGTTTCTGCTCACAGGCTTTGACTCCTGTTTTCCATAATTTGCTAAGATAGTTTATCTCAGTTTACATGGAAGGTTCTCCAACACAGCAGTGATAGCATTGACTGGGAAACACCCCAAAATGGTTGTATATCGGTGTCATTGCCCCACTGAATTCTAATTCTGCCTCTGTGATATCCAGTGTTGCCCTAATTTTATGAAAAAGTTCCTTAGGAATATATTGTTATGTTGTCTTAACGAATGCGGCTATATGGGGAGATATATGATGTAAACTTCACATATCCCAGTCATATTATTACATTAGCCAGGAATATGGGGACTCTGTTTATCATCAGAGGCAACTAGATCAGAGGATGGCACCGAAAGTTTGAGAAGGAAGCATTATTCCCTAAGTATATTTGTTGCAGGTATAAAACAATAAGGTTCTGAGTAACTCAATACAGGTTCTTTGTACTTCTAAATTAGATTTTGAAATATTGAAATCATTTGGATTATGATGATTTTAGACCATTTTTAGGTCGGAGAGGAGAGGGGTATTGTTTCTGCACAGTATCCACAATGGTTGCCATATCATTGGTTGTGAAACTTTGGTTGATGAAATGAAATCCCTGTTAGTCCGTTGTGTTTTAAACAACACAGAATTTCAGAATCCCTAGGTATTGTGTTTTGTGGTTTGGTTCTTAAAGTACATAGAGAATCGAGTCTTCCTTCCTGCTGGTTAGATTCACTAGTGTTGACATCCAAGGATCATTCCTTGATTTTCATCTTAGGAGATGCTGAGCAGTGACTAACCGGTAACAACCCCCTGGGGCAAGTCATCATGGATGTTCCAGTTTCCTCATTATCTACTCTTGGTGTTCCTCTTAGTCCTGATTATTCAAATCCAGAAGTTGAAATGACCCCATGTTCAGTCTAAGTGTTCTCACTGGTCTTTTCATCCTAGACAGCCTCATCTCTGTACCGTGTTTCAGGAGGGTCTTGGCTTTTTCTCCTATCATTAGCTAGGCCTGTTTATGTTGTTCGCAGTTTTCTCATTTTGGCTATTTTCAAACTTGATTGCTTGATTCCATAATTCTTTTCCCTCACACACAACAAACCAGGAAAAATCTGTTCTCTTGTTTTCTCATGTTCCCAATCTACACATGTTCTCTGATAACATTCACCAGGCATCTCAAAGGCTGGCTGGTTCCTTACACCCTTCTGGAAGCCACATGAATATGTGATTCTTTGGCTTTTCGCTTTTTTGTCTCAATGCTGTCACCTTTTCCACACCTCTGCTCCTGTGACCACCATAAAACTTTATCATCTCCCATAAGCCTAGCATCTCCCTAGGCTAGCAACTACTAGTGTACTACTAACAGGAAGTTAAAATATAGAAACTTTCTGGGGAAATTCCAAAATTAAAGTGGTTTATGCCAAACATCTTAAGATGCTTTCCCTGTGTTTGACTAAAATCGTATCTATGGGGGGAAAACTAGATGGAATGTTTGCTACACATAATGCCTTTGTTTTCACCTTTATACAGTTTTGTTTGTGAGTTATGTACACCTCAGTAATTATGAATGGGAAAACTAAAACTGTGACTTGCAGTTCAATGTTGCAAATATTTGGGAGTTAAAGTTCTGTAGTGAGAGAACAGGCATGGAGTCCAGGAAATCCTTCAATGAATTGGTATATCTGTAGTTTTCAGAGTGCTACTTTAAACACATTTAAATTATGTTAACATTTTCTTGCAGTGTCACTGGTCACCTACTGATGAAGCAGGCCCTGCATTTTCCATTCCATAGTTTAATTGGGCTAATTCACAACCTGCCTATAATAGTAGCTATGTTAGATGCACAGAGGAATGTGCACACATTGGTGGGGGAATAATAGCACATAGTAATTTAGGATTCTTGTTTTACTTTTCACTTTTCTGGTTTCCTTCAGATACATTTCCTTTCATTTTGTATTTCTGAGTTTTCAGTTTGAGGGAGGTGGGGTGACAATGCATTATGTTACTTGGATATTGTCTTAAATATTCTCTTGATGGAATTCCCGAATCTTTATTTTCAAGATATAAATCTCCTGAAACTTAGTTTAGTCAAGTTTATGAATGTTCTTTTTAAAGATTTATGTATTTGAAAGTCAGACTTCCACAGAGATAGAAGGAGAGGTGGAGAGAGAGAGGTCTTCCACCTGCTGATTCACTCCCCAGTTGGCCGCAAAGGCCGGAACTGTGCCAGTGTGAAGCCAGGAGCCAGGAACCTCTTCTGGGTCTCCCACGTGGGTTCAGGGGCCCAAGGACTTGGGCCATCTTTTACTGCTTTCCCAGGCCATAGCAGAGAGCTGGATCAGAAGTGGAACAGCCAGGACTTGAACTGGTGCCCATGTAGGATGCCAGCATTGCATTTGGTGGCCTCATCCGCTATGCCACAGTGCCAGCCCCAATCATGAATATTTTAACAATCATTTCTGTCCCATGAAGCCTACCAAAACCCCACAATATTAACCTAAGTTCCTTAACTTTTATGATGCATTTTAAGTATAGGAACCTATTTTTGAATGCTTTATTTTTCCAGCCTTTTCACAGTGTAACTGAGAAACAAAAATTCTGTCTATTCAAGGCATGTAATTGTGTTTCGATGTGAGTCTGATCTCTATATTGCATTTTCACACAAACCGTTCGACTCTCCTGGTACTTACAGTACACTATGAAAGGATTAGTACAGTGAAGCCACTTAACAAATTTATCACTTTTACCGTGTTTTGTAAAATTTTTTTTTATATTTTTTATTATTTTTTTTTTTGCACAGGCAGAGTGGACAGTGAGAGAGACAGAGAGAAAGGTCTTCCTTTTGCCGTTGGTTCACCCTCCAATGGCCGCCGCAGCCGGCGCGCTGCAGCCGGCACACCGTGCTGATCCGAAGGCAGGAGCCAGGTACTTCTCCTGGTCTCCCATGCAGGTGCAGGGCCCAAGCACTTGGGCCATCCTCCACTGCACTCCCGGGCCACAGCAGAGAGCTGGCCTGGAAGAGGAGCAACCGGGACAGAATCCGGCGCCCCGACCAGGACTAGAACCTGGTGTGCCGGCGCCGCAAGGCGGAGGATTAGCCTAGTGAGCCGTGGCGCCGGCCTGTTTTGTAAATTTTGTAAATTTTATTTATTTATGTATTTTCTCAGACAACTTTTATTTTAGGTATGCATACTTTATGCATTCAATAATTACAGCTTTAGCAGCTGTATTTATTGTTAGTAGTAATTCTTCTACCGTACCTGCCCTCTAATTGACACTCCTATCCTTTTTATAGTGTTTTTTAAGAATACTGACCTAGGCAGTTACAAGTACAGAATAGAGTATGAACAGTTTCCCCGGGTTTATATATTAGATTTACAAAACCGTATCTCGTAATAACTGCAAATTTGATTTTTGTTTGTTTGTTTGTTTGACAGGTAGAGTTATAGACAGAGAGAGAGAGAGAGAAAGGTCTTCCTTCCATTGGTTCACTCCTCAAATGGCCGCCAGGGCCAGAGCTGGGCCGTTCCGAAGCCAGGAGCCAGGTGCTTCCTCCTGGTCTCCCATGCCGGTACAGGGGCCCAAGCACCTGGGGCATCCTCCACTGCCTTCCCGGGCCAGAGCAGAGAGCTGGACTGGAAGAGGAGCAACCAGGACAGAACCGGTGCCCATACGGGATGCCGGGTGTCGCAGGTGGAGGATTAACCTAGTGAGACATGGTGCTGACCCCTTTCAAATTTCATTTGAAAGGCAGGAAACAGAGAAAAGGGGAGAGAGGGACAAAGAGAGTAAGGCAGAGACAGGGTGAGAGAGAGGATGAGGGATATCTCATCTCATGCATTATTTCCCTCCTCAAATGTCCTCAGTGGCAGGGCTGGGCCCCAGGTCTCCCACTTTGGCACAGGGGCCCACGTCCTTGGGTCATCTTCTAGTGCTTTCCCAGGCACATTAGCGGGGAGGTGAATGGGAAGTGGAGCAGTTGGGACCTGGTCTGGTGCTTATACGGGATGCTGGCAGTCCCGGTGGAGGCTCAAACTTTTTTTACACCCCAGCTCCAGCCCCATCACCATATATTTGTATCGTTTGACTACCCTCTCTTCAGTTTCATGCTCCCAGTTCATCACAGACACCATCCTACTCTCTGACTGTGTTAGTTGGACTTTGTATATTCCACATGTAAGTGTGATCATGTAGTGTTGCTTATTTCTGTGTCTTGTTTCCCTCATGGTAATGTCCTATAGTTCCATACTTTTGGATCCATCTGTGACAAGTAGTAGTATTTCCTTTCTTTTTAAGGTTTGGTGAGGATGCCACTGTGTGTGCATCCCATTTTTCCTTATGGGTCCATCAACAAACATTTGAATTATTTCCATACCGTGGAATTGTGAATGATGCTGAAGTGATGTGGGGGCGCAGATAGTTCATTGAGATGGTGATTTTCTTTTGGATTCATGGTCAAGATAGGGGACTGTGGCCTCCTTCTCTGGAAGCTAGGGCTATATGAGGCTATGTCAGAAAGTTTTTTGAAGGATGGAGGTTTGGCATAGTGGGAAAGACAATGCTCAGGATACCAGTGGCAGCAGTGATGGTTTAAGTAGTGGGATTCTTGCTACCACATTGGAGACCATCTCCCAGCTCAGCCTGGGTCAGATCAGCCCTTGAGTACTGTGGGCATTTGGGTAATGAGCTGCTAGACGGGTGGGTATCTTTCTCTCTTTGTCTCTTCCCCTCTCCCCTTTATTCTCTGTGTTTTGCTTTTGAAACCAATTGCAGTATTAAAACGAGGTGGAAAAAATGGTTTACGGATGATGCTGTATCCCAGTGGCAGTAGATAATTGAGTCATTTTCTAGAGTCACACAATGGGCTGTGTGTAGCTCACAGTAATCTCTGTTAGATCTTTTATTAGCAAACCAAGTAAATGAGCTCAAGGCTCTAAGTAAAATAATGTCCAAAAAGAAATGTAGATTTGATCAGTACAAATTTTATATAAGTATTGAAATGTCACACTAGTCCATACATATGTACAACTCTTGTGGATAAAATGTAAGTAAAAATATCAATATGTTACTTGGTGTATAAGGTTAAGGGGTTTTAAACGATTAATGTCACAACTAATATTATGGTATTTGAAAATGGTTAATTAATACAAAAACATAGCCTGTAAATGACTGAATGGTTCTTTCTTGCTGTGCTCAAAGGCTATTATGCTGCATTTTAAGTTGGTGATGAATATTTATTTTAGATTGTTTGCTTTAATTAAGAAAAATGGTAGTATGTTTTCACGTGTATGTGAAATTGAATAGCATCAGAGCAATACAATGAATACGAGGTAAGCTTTTTTTCATAATTGAGATTTTATTGGATTTTGAGAATCACTACAGACACATTTCAGTTTGTATACTATTCTTAACAAACCAAAAATTTAGAAAGTGAGGGCTTTTCATTCTCTTTAAATCTTTTATTATTTTTGGAATAGTGTATTTTTTTTAACTTGCCTCCTAAGAGCTTTATATTCCACTCAATAAAGAGTTCAGCTAGTAAGGAAGAATATAGGCAAGGGCCATAAAAATTATCAAACAAAAAAAGTCCTATCTTTAGGATCAGTTGTGTACTTAAACTGATCACTTTAACTAGTAAGATGGCATTAAGTGTCAAAGGGATCACATAAATAAGACCAAGTGTCTGCTAATAGTAATAGAATTAAAAAGGAGAGAATGATCCAACATGGGAAGCAGGCCACGCAGCAGACTCATAGAATGACAAATACCCTAAACAGCACTCTAGCTCAGAATCTGTCGCTCCCCCTCTTCGTGGAGGAACGACACAGGACCCTGCGCTGTTCTTTCGTCTGCTCGGCCCTCCCCAGGTTTGCTGCTGGTTCTTCCCGGGTTGGCTGCCATCCCTTCCACCTCCGTGGAAGGGCGGTTCCCCCTGGCCACTTTCCCCACTTCCGCGGGGGAGCAGCACACCGCCGGCCGGCTCTCTCGGGGGCTGCACAGGTGTTCCTTCAGATAGATGTTCCCCTTAGATGTTCCCGGTGCATGTTGTCTCTCTCCTCCTTTATAGTCCTTTTCCACCAATCCCAACTCTGCTACCCATACGCCGAGTACGCTGCTCTCCTCCAATCAGGAGCAGGTCCTACAGTTTATTGGTTGAACTGGAGGCAGCTGTGTAGAAGCTGTTTCTCTCTTCTCAGCGCCATATTGTGGGAGAGCAGATGCATAGAATAAGTCTTAATTCCAGTAACTTAGTCTAGTCCGAGTTGCTCCCCACAAGAATCAGCCCTAAGGCATTCGGATCTGGCTGAAAAGCCCATGAGAGCATTTCAGGCATGGAAAGCCAAGACACTGTGGCAAAAAGTCACCCACATAAAAGATCTCTGGGAGTGAGATCCCAGGGGAAAGAAAGGGCTATCAGAGAGGTTAGTACTATCTCTGAAGGAAGGAGCGAACTTCCACTTTGATTGTGGCCTTGTCTAAATAATGTTGGAGTTTGTGGACTCAAGAGGCTTCCATAGCCTTGGCAGCTCATGACCAAGAGCCTAGGGTGCTCACTAACGTCAAATATAAGTGTCAGTTGTTACATCAACAACAGGTGTCGCTGTGCACTTGCTCCCCATGTAGGACCTCTGTCCTTAATGTGTTGTACTATGAGAATTAACGGTAAACTAGTCTTCAAACAGTACTTTCAACTTTGTGTGTCTGTGTGGGTGCAGTCTGTTGAAATCTTTACTTTGTATGGAGTTGATCTTCTGTATGTAAAGATAATTAAAAATGAATCTCAATGAAGAATGGGATGGAAGAGGGAGTAGGAGTTGGGATGGTTTGTGGGTGGGAGGGAGAGTATGGGGGGAAGAACGGCTATAATCCAAAAGATGTACTTATGAGATTTATATTTATTAAATCAGAGGTTTGTATAAAAGTGTCTACTACACTCATACACAGTAAATTTTAAAATGATCATGAATTATTAAAATTATAGTAGCATATCATTCTTTTTTTTTCCTTTTTTTTTTTTTTTTTTGGACAGAGTGGATAGTGAGAGAGAGAGACAGAGAGAAAGGTCTTCCTTTGCCGTTGGTTCACCCTCCCATGGCTGCCACGGCTGGCGTGGCTGTGGCTGGCGCATCACGCTGATCCGAAGGCAGGAGCCAGGTGCTTCTCCTGGTCTCCCATGCAGGTGCAGGGCCCAAGCACTTGGGCCATCCTCCACTGCACTCCCTAGCCATAGCAGAGAGCTGGCCTGGAAGAGGGGCAACCGGGACAGATCCGGCACCCCGATCGGGACTAGAACCCGGTGTACTGGCGCCTCAGGCAGAGGATTAGTCTTTTGAGCCACGGCGCCGGCCAGCATATTATTCTTAAGAATTTGTTTGACAAAGATATAAAAGAAAGTATGACAAAACTGTATTTGCAGCAATACTGATACACACAGGCATTATTTTCTTTTTTGTATTTTTTGTTGTTTTCTGATTTTTTAAAAGAAAATTTTAGCTCCCATATATAAAGGAGAACATCTAATATTTGTCTTTCTGTGTCAGGATAATTTCACTGAGCGTGAAGTCCTTCAGTTGCAACGATTTTGATAGAAATAACAGGGTTTCAATTTTTATAGTTCTGTAATATTCATTTCTACATATATGCATCCAGTTTTGCCAGCAGCATTTACTGAATAGATTATACTTTTTTCCAATGTATAGTCTGGGCACTTTCATGAAAAATCAGTTGGCTCTCCCTGTGTGGATTAATTAATTATTTAATTAATTTTCCATGATCATGCTGCTTTGATTGCTATAGCTTTGTAGTAAGGTTTGAAGTCTGGTATTCTGACACGTTCAAGTTGATTTTTTTATTTTGCCCAGGATCATTTTGGCTATTATTGATATTTTGTGATTTCTTATGGAATTTAGGATTATTTTCTCATTCCGTAAAAAATGTCATTGGTGTTTGATAGGAATTTCGTTTAACTTGTAGGTTGCTTTATAGGTATTTTAATTATACTAATTCTTGCAATCCATGAGCAAGTTCTATTTTTACATTTTGGAAGTCCTTGATGATTTATTTCTTCAGCGTTTTAGAATTTTCATTGTAGATATCTTTCACTTATTTGGGTACATTTATTCCTAAATGTTTTATTTTTGTCCCTATTGTGTATGGGATTAATTTTTAAATTTCATTTTTGGCAAGTTGGTTATTAGAATATAAAGAAGCTACTGTGTTTTGTATGTTGATTATGTAACCTGTGACTTTACTGAATTGGTTTTTCATCTTGAAGCATTTTTTGGTGGAGTGTTTAGATTTTTCCATGCACAACATCATGTATTCTACAATGTTGTTGAATTCAGTTATTGTTAATAGTTGTGTTGAGGAATATTTCATGTTATGAATATAAGAGCATGTCATAGAGGCTTAAAAGTTTACCTGTGGAAAATTTCTCTGTCGTTTGCCATGGGGGAATTAGAGTAGTACCTTGCAGACTTGTGAACATTGCTGATGAAGTGCATGGGTTCACCCATTGGTTTATCAGTGCTTTCTGTGTCCCCCCCTCCCCCACCGACTCCCAGTGAGACAGTGAGGCTTCTTACAAGGTTGTGTGCTGAGTGTTGCTGTCCGAAGCATATAAGTAACATGGTCTCATGGGATCATTTCAGACATTTGTGCCTGCACCTGGGTGATGCAGAGTCTTGTGTGCTGTGAGATGGTGAGTCTGGATGCACCAGATGATTGCCGGCTGCCCCTCACATGCTGCCAGGCACCACCCAGGACATGGTTAAGAAAGTAGTTGCCCCCTCTGCGACTGTCTCAGATGGTGAAGTGTCGTATCTCAGACACCAAGGAAGTTCACATAGAGGTACACACCTTGCTGTGGATGGAGACACAAAGCCTGCTCAAAGACTGGACAGGGACACATTGAGAAGGGCAACCTTGCCGTGTTCCTGACAGGAAGTAGTCTATAAATCACCGGGCAACAGAGTTGGCAGCTCTCACGGAACTGCATCAAGATCCTGTCCGACTTGTCTGGAAAGCACAAATAGATGGTGTCATGTTTGCACAGAGGTTGACCATAAACTGTCCCTTTTTCTACTGCAGTGGGTGTCCAGAGCATGTTAAACACCACACTACAGAAGGAGCCTCTATATTTCCCTGTATGGTGTACAATTAGAAAAAAAGAGAGCTACTGAGGCTGTTAGGTATTCTTGAGCGAGTATGTGCAGCCCCCACCCCTGAATGGCAAAGCTGCCCATAGGACAGTCCCATACAAGCTACCTTGGACCCAGTGGAATTGTTTATTCACTTACTTAAGCATTATTCATTGTTTCATTGAAAGACAAGAGAACAAATTTCCCATTGGCTGGATCACTCCACTTGAGTGGCAAGGGCCCAAATATCTGAGCCATCCTCTGTTGTTTCCCAGGGTATGCATAAGCAGGAGCCTGGATTTGAATGCATGACCAGGTATTGATCCTCTGTAATTACTCTGTAATGGGATGCTGGCACCAAAGATGATGTCTTTAATTGCCATGCCAAATACAATGTATTGATGCCTTTATATTCTAATTTATTAGAATGGCAGTGTGAGATAGAGAAAAATGTTTCCATCTGTTGGCCTCAACCCCAGAGCCTGCAAACATTATGGAAGGGCTGGGCCAGTCGGAAGCCAAGAGCTCCATCCACTTCTCTCACATGGTGGAAGAGACCTAAGTATCTGACCCAATGCCTGGTGCCCATCAGAGTGTACATTAGCAGGAAACTGGACTGCAAGAAGATTGTACGGAAATCCAGGCACTCTGATATGGGGCGTTGATAACCCAAATGGCATCTTAACAACTCTGTCACAGTTCCTTGGCCATTGTTATATTGTAATGATTTTTTATTTGGAAAAAAAAAACATTATGGAGGGAGAGATATAGGGATACCATTCAATCCACTACCTCGCTCTCCAAATGGCTGCATCAGCTACAGATTAGCCAGGGTGAAGCCAGGAGCAGGAACTCCATCTTCTTCTCCTACATGGGTTGCAGAGGCCTGAGATCTTCAGACATGATCCACTGTCTTTCCATGCACCTTAGGAGGAAGCTGGAGTGGAAGCATAGCAGCTGGGGCATGACCCAGCACTACAATATGAAATGGAAACTTTGTTAGCTGATGCCTTACCTGCAGTTCCACAACGTCAGCATACCCGTCGTTATTTGTAAGAGCGGTCCCACCACAGGACCAAGCAAAACTTCTGGCCCTGTTGGCAGCCACTTCAGAAGTTAATCAAGTTACGCAAACGCTAAGCACCCTGGGAAATACCAAGGTGGACACGTAGAGTGTTCACAGCCAGAGTTTCCTTCAACATCTCCCTGCAATCCAGTGCTATGTAATCAAATGTGGTGCTCTCTGACTTGCTCTGATCCATTGTGCACATGATGGGGCCTATTCTGAACATCAACAACAAAGTCAATGGCTTTGCAGGCTGCACTGCTGCCTACTGGCTCATTTCAGGCAAGTCTTATGAGTTTCTCCAGACCCTCTGGACACCACTGAGGCCCTTCTAGACAGAAGACCACCAGAGATTCAACAATGGTAGGCTTCTTCTGCATACGAAGGGTAAGCTGTCATCACCAGGCAACTTTATGGATGACAACCACCGTGTAGTAGGGTCACATTATAGAGCCTTGTGGGTCATTGGGCACTAACTCCTACGGCATTGTGATCTTTCCCAGTAGAGTGCATCTGCCCAGCAATATTCATTGACAGACTATGGAAAGGACATGCCCTTGGGTCGACTGCCATGGCCACCATTAAGACAGGACCCGACCTCTTCCCATGAGTCCTTGTGTTGCTTCTGCCCACTGCTCAGCTATCATTTCTGTTCCTTGGTATGGACAGCCTAACACTTCTGTTCTTCACCTAGATCAAGCCCAAGTCTTTTGTACCGATGTGGCATGCTTGCCTAGAGCCTGGACATTTAACACACACCTCCCTATATTGTCAGCACCCTAAAATAGCCACTCAAGCAAGACAAGTGGGGAATTGGCATAGCTGTCCCTGACGTAGTAGAAGTATTATCTGAAATACGCTGAGTCATCTATTAACCCACCCATCAAGCACCTTCTCAAAGCTGGAGGATAGGATTGGAGGCATCCTGCAGATTACCACCACTTCAAGAAGGTCATGCCTCGCTTTGAATTTGCCTTACTTGACATTACCAGACTGCCCCTGAGAATTTTGCCATTATTGGTGTGGCAAGCACTTTATTGTGTCCCGTGGAGATTTGGGGCCATTTACTTTTTAACTTGAAGGCCAACACTGCACCTTTATGAGACTTCCAGTGGGCTGCCTCTCTGGTCCCCCAGGGCTCGGGGTCTGTGTTAATAGGCTCTGGCTGGCCTTCCGTTGTCATCTAGCATCCACCTGTGACTGTATGTTGAGGACATCGTTTCAACTGATAATCAAGAGGAGGAGGAAAAATGGGCCTCAAACATCAGCATCTGACGACTTGTCCCAGTTGGTGTGGACCTTAGTCCCATAGGAGGTGAGAGCTTGCAACCTCAAATTTTTGGTCTACGTTTTGAAAAAGGAATTCAGAAAAATTCCTCAGCAAATCCTCAGTGACTGGGTTTCAACCAAGGAAGCCCAGCACATTTTCACTTTCTGATAACACCAACATCCTCACCTCTAGTGAACTCTTAAGACCCACCTGTCTCACCAGTCACCCACAAGGATGCACCTTGGTGGATAGTTTGTGGTTCTGAGGCTCACACGGGTAAAGGACTTGAACTTAGCTGTGAGCTTTTAGTGACACTACTGTTTGACTCACAGAGAATTTGGACTACCTCACTCAGCATCATGAGCTGGGTCCTGGCCTCCAGCCACTGGGAATCTCTAGTTAGATGGAAGTGGACAGAATGTGTGATCATCCTACTGGTTCTTGAGCAGCCCACCCTCACTCAAGGCCATCTTGAAATTCACATGTCCACCAATTCTTGGGACATCACCAATTGCTGGTGGCCTTTGTGTGGCCTCAGACTGGACAATCCATACCCTTGCATTGGAGTACCCCCTTTGGTGGGACACTGTTGATATCTGTGCTACGGGCCTAACCTCACTGACCAACTCTCAGCTATTTTGATTGCCAAAATTCTACTGCCTTTTAATGTAGCAAAACCGCACTATGTATTATCTACATCCTTGCTTTCATAGTGGAGTCTCCCTGGCTTATATTATTTGGGACATCATAGACCTGTCGACTTGGATTTCAGCTTGTAGCTTTCCTATTGTATCCAAGTCAGTTGTGGAAGTCCCCAAGGAATGCCTGCTGTACAGACAAAACTGTCATTCCTCTTTGTCGCATGGTTGCATTTGGAGTGGTGATTATTCACATGCTACCTGGCAAGTGGATTTTATTGACCTGCTGTAGCAAATGGCAGGTGCTTCCTGTTATGTAAGCCTATAGCAGACTTCTCTTGCTTCTTTTTTCATGGCTGAAAATGTCATCAGAGTCTAAGTACTTCATCCCTGGTGCATTAAACATGGAACCAAAAGTATCTGAAATACTTAGTTCCTGTCCATTTGGTGTATACACAGCAATGGAGTTTCTAGTTCATGTGAAGGTTATTTTTTTTTTAATTTTGAAGTTAACAATAATTGTACCTACTTAAAGGCTGCTGTATGATTTTTTGGTACATGTCTGCAATGTGTCCTGATTAAAAATGGGATGATCAGTATTTCCCTTTGTTTGTTAGTACTTATGATTAAGTCTTGGGATTTCTTCTGTATGTTCATACAACACATACTCCATTATTGTGAGCTATCCTCTCCATTATTCTGTGTAACATTAGGAAGTCATTTCTTTGATCTTACTCTGATTTGGTACCCATCATCCAAACTCCTTGCATTTTCCCTCCAACCTCTTACATCCCTTATTAATTATTATATATTCATATTGGTGTATTTTAAAGATTTATTTATTTTTATTTGAAAGGCAGAGCTGCAGAGAGAGGGAGAGACAGAGAGATGTTTTCCTTCTGCTCATTCACTACCCAAATGGCTGCAACAGCTGCATCAGAGCAAATTCAAAGCCAGGAGCCAGGAGCTTTTTGTGGGTCTCCCAAAGTGGATGTAGGGGCCCAAGCACTAGGGCCATCTTCCATTGCTTTCTCAACCCATAACTAGAGAGCTGGTTCAGAAGAGGAGCAGCAGGGTTATGAACCGGTGCCCACATGGGATTCTGGCACCACAGGCAGAGCCTTAACCTACCATGCCACAGCACTGGCCCCCCAATTGTTTTTTTAGCTTGTGTTTGTGAGGGAGTGGGTACAGTATTTGTCTTTCTGTGTCTGGATTGTTTTCACTTACTTCTAGTTTCATACATCTTGCTTCAAGTGACAGGACTTCATTCTTTTCAAATGGCTGGATAGTATTCCATTTTGCATATATACAACAAACTCTTGACTGCTTCGTCTGATGAACTCTCCGCTCATTTTGTTTGCCAAGATACTATTCCCTTTTAGTGAGACAAAAATGCAGTCTACTTTATCTGCATCCCTGCCCTCATAGTGGAGACTGTGGTAGGAGAATGAGTTTCTGCTCCCGGGCATATCTGATTTGGGGACATCTTATGCCTGTCAATTTGGATTTCTGATTGTGGTTTTCCTATTCCATCCAACTCAGTTGGAAAAGTCCCCCAGGAATGTCTGCTTTGCAGACAAAACTTAAATCATTTCTTTTTCTCCCACGGTGGCATTTGGAGAAGTGGTTACTCTCACATTCCGCTTAGCAGGTGGGTTTTATTGGTCTGCTATTTCAAGAGACAAGTGATTATTATTGATGGGCACACCAGATGCTCCTTGCTTTTTCCTTCATGGCTGAAAATGTGCTTTAAACATGGGACTGTAGATACATGAGCTACTCCCTGGTGCTTCAGACATGGGGCTATAGATACACAGAACTACTTATACTTAGTTACTTTCTGTGGGACATGTACCCAGTGGTGGTGTTGCTGGTGCACGGTATTGTTCTGTTTTCTGAAAATTTTGACATTAGCAATAATTTCACATACCTAAGGTCTACAGGATGATGTCTCGGTGCATGTCTGCACTGTGTCCTGTTGAAAAATGGGATAATCAGCATTTCCCGTTCTTTGTCACTATTTTATGACAGAAGGCCTGGAATTTCTTCTGTGTGTTCATGTAATATATACTAGGTTATTGTGAACTAGTCTCCTCACTGTGCTGTGTAACGATAGGAACTTACTCCTTTGATCCGACTCTGATATTGTGCCCCTCATCAAAACTCCCTTCATCCGCCGCAGTGCCTACCATCCTTTATTAATCATTATGCAGTCAGGTTCTTAGCTTGCGTATGTGAAGCTGTGCACGTGTTATTTGTCTTACTGTGTCTGGCCTTTTTCACTTAACATGATATCCTCCAGTTGCATACATTTTGTTGCAAAGGACAGGATTTCATTTTTAAATGGCTGAATAGTATTCCGTTTGGTAGATACACAACAAATTCTTGATCTCTTTATCAGATGATGGATTCGTTGGTTGATTCCATAATTTGGCCGTTGTTAACAGTGGTGCAGTAATCATGTTGGAACAGGTGTCTCTTAGATCCAGTGATTTCATGTTTTTTGGATGAATACTGAGTATTGAGATTATTGAGTCAGATGGTGTGCTATTCTTAGTTTTTAAGAAATCTCCATGGTGTTTTCCTCAGTGGTTGTACTCATTTGGATTCCCACACTCAGTATATGAAAGTTCTCCTTTCTCCATATCCTTGCTAGAATTTTTTACGTTTTCTTTTTGATAGGCATTCTAGCGTTATGAGGTGATATATTTTTGGGGTTTTGATTTGCATTTCTTTTTTTTTTTTTTTAAAGAGATTTTATTTACTTGAGAGGCAGAGTTACAGACAGAGAGGTAGGCACACAAAGGTCTTCCATTCGCTGGTTCAGTCCCCAGATGGCCACATTGGTGAGAGCTGAGCCCATCCAAAACCAGGAGCCAGGAGCTTCTTCCCAGGTGGTTGCAGGGACCCAAGCACTTTGGCCATCTTCCACTGCTTTCCTAGGCCATATGCAGAGAGCTGGATCAGAAGAAGAGCAGCCAGGACAGGAACCAGTGCCCACATGGAATGCCAGCCCTGTGTGCATAGACTTAGCCTAGTATGCTGCAGTGTGGGCCCCTATTTTCATTTCTCTGATGACTTGTAATAGTTTTTTTTCATGTATTTGTTGGTCATTTCCTTTTTTTTTCTTTTGAGAATTGTCTTTTTAGACCCCTTGTGCCCATTTCTTAACTGTATTGGATGCTTGATTTTGAATTTGTTGAGTTCCTGGTATTCTGGCTATTAATCCTTTGTTGGATAAGTAAGTAGTTTGCAAGTATTTTATCCCTTTCCATTGGTGGTTTATTCACTCTATTACTGTTTTCTTTGCTGTACAGAAGCTTCAGAGTTTGATCTAGTTTTACTTTTGCTACCTGAACTTCTGGGGTTTTAAACAAAAAGTCATTGCCTCTACCTCTTTTAAGAGGTGTCTCCCTATGTTTCGTATTTTCAGGTCTTTGATCCATCTGAGTTGATTTTTATATGTTGTGAAAGATAGGCATTTAATTTCATTCTTCTATATATGCATATCTAGTATTGTAAGCACCATTTATTGAAAAGACTACGGGATTTTCATCAAAAATCAGGTAGCTGTTATGTATGTTTGTATTTATATATTTTTTCTCTGTTTTCATTGACCTTTGTATCTATTTTCATGCCAGTTTCATCCTATTTTAGTTACTATAACTTTATGAAATCAGGTATTGTTATGCCCCCAGGTTTGTATAGGATCACTTTGACTTCTCTGGGCCTTCTCTGGTTCCATATGAATGTTAGAAGTTTTTTTTTCTGACGGTTTAAAGAATGTCATTGGTATTTTGATAGGACTTGCATTGAATCTGTAGATTTCCTAGGGAATATGAAGATTTTAATGTTAATTATTCTAATTCATGAACAGGGGATGTCTTTACATTTTCATGTGTCTGACGATTTATTTCAGCAGTGCTTTATAATTTTATTGTGATCTTTCACTTATTTGGTTGTATTTATTACTAAATAGTTTTTGTAGCTATTATAAATTTAGGTTTCTTTTTTCCTGTTTCCTACTTTTTATTTAAAATACACAAATTTCATATACTTCATATATAGAGGTTCAGGAAGATGGTGATACTTTCCACTCAACTCTCCATCCCACCCGTACTCCCACCCGTACTCCCACCCTCCTTCCTTTTCCGTATCCTATTCCCATTCTTACTTTTTACAAAGATCTTAAACTAACCTTTACAGAGGATCATTATTGGTGTGTAAGAATGCAACTTTTTTTTTTTACATTGATTTGGTATCCTGTAACTTATTGGTTTATCACTTCCAACATATTTTTACTGCGGTGTTTTAAGTTTTTCCGCCTAAAATCAGTTCTTCTGAAAAAACAGGTATTTTGATTTCCTCCTTCCCAATTTTCATCCTTTATTTCTTTACCTGAGTACTCTAGTGAGTACTTGAGATACTATATTGACTAAGAATGGTATATGTGGAGTTCTTATCTTGTTCCTAAACTCTGGTGAAATATTTTCAGCTTTTTCCCATTCAGTATGATATTGGCTATTGTTTATCATATAGCTTTGATAATTTTGAAGTATATTTCTCCTGTACCTTGTTAGTATAATTTTTTTAATCATTAAGGGATTTTGAATCTTGTGACGGAAGCATTCCCTGAATCTGTTGAGATGTTCATTTATTTTTTGTTGTTCGTTCTGCTGATGTGATTCCATTGATTTTTTTATAGATGTTGAACCACACTTGCATTCCTGTGATAAAACACACTTTGTCATATTACATGTTGTGTGTGTATATATGTATATATAATACATATGTGTTTGTGTGTATATATGTATATACCATACATGTGTGTATATGTATATATCATACATGTGTATATATGTATATATCATACGTGTGTGTGTGTGTGTATGGTATCTTTTTGATGCATTGTTGCATTCATCACGTTTGCAAAGCCTCACAGCCTAGAAAGTGGTTGAAATAAGAAAGCTTGAACTCACTACCCATGCTTTTTCAATCCCAGAAAATCCAAAACATTTTCCCTAGGCCACAGAATGACAGACTGTACTAAAGAAAATATTCAAAACCTAATTCCAGGGACTGGCACCGTGGTGTAGTAGGCTAAACCTCCACCTGCAGCACTGGCACCCCATATGGGTACCAGTTCATGTCCTTGCTACTCCTATTCCAATCGAGCTCTCTGCTGTGGCCTGGGAAAGCAGTAGAAGATGGCCCAAGTGCTTGAGCCCCTGCACCCATGTGGGAGACCCGGAGGAAGCTCCTGGATCCTGGATTCAATTCAGCCCACCTTTGGCTGTTGTGGCCATTTGGGGAGGGAAGCAGTGGATTTAAA